TGATCCAAGCCCAGTTCTGAGGCCTCTTGGCTGACTGAGCCCTTGTCTTTCCACCACAGTCTCTACATGGATCAGACAGAGATGGTTTCTGTCAAATGTAACTTAGGAAATTGAACACAGTGGGAATCTGATTTCTGAAAGTATGACTTTCATTTCTGACTTTGTTTTAGTTTTCATACCATATGACCTCCTATTAGCTATTGATTCTATTACTCAAAAAGTCTTTAATTATAAATTTATGATTATCCATACTTTCTATTTTTGGTTGTGCTAGCTTTGGCACGTTATTCTGTAAAGGAATTTGTTAAGTTCATTTTGTTTGTCAAACTTATTGAAATAAAGTATTTTATTTTTTCTGATAGTATTATAGATAGATGATCTAGGTAGAAATATTACAGGCAGCCAGATAGGGCTAAGTCCTCAAGAGGGCCAGGATAATGGTGAAACACACCACAGCTGCACATCGGCTGAAAACCAGGCCTCAAGATTGAGACAAGATGACTAGACCCACATACTTCAAAGAACTGGGCTTAGTGAAGTAGAGATTGCCATTGACCACCCTGGGGGTGACCAGAGAACTCTGGACCCACCGCCTCCTAAGAGAATCCTTGTTCTTTCCATCCATGGTTGGTATGTGGCTTGCTTCCCAATTGGACCACCATTACCTAAGTGACTATGCTTGTAAACTTATTGGATGTTCATGGCTGTGGCCCATGTTTTACCCATGTGGGTTTCACCCTATAAACTTCTTTGTAAAGTGAGCTCCTTGGGCTACCCACTTGGGACCCCTCCTGCCCCTCAGAGCTTTCCTATCAATAAATATCTTCCCACTTTAACCTCTCTCAATCCTCCCTCATTCCATTCAATTTCTAGAGAACAAGAACTCAGCACATCATACAATTAACAGGTTGGAAGATATAATATTTTATATTTCCTACAACACTAGTAGTTTAGCATCTCTAGGATTTGTATTGATGTTCTACTTTTCTTTACTAAAACTGATCATTGGTATTGCTTTTTTTCTATTTTCTTGATCAGTTTTACTAGCCAGTTGTCATTTTATTAACCTGTCAAATGTACCAGCTATGGGATCTCAGCTATAATTACACTGTTCATCTTTTTATTTGTTAAAGTGGAAGATTATATTGTTTATTTTAAAATTTCCTTCTATTAAATATTAATTTAAAGCTATATTTTTCTCTGAACATTGCTTCCGTTTCATCTATAAATATTAATTTATTGTGTTTTCTTTATACGTATACTTCAGAAAACTTTTAAATTTCCTTTAAATTTCTTCTTTGATTCATCGATTATTGAAAATTGTCTGCTTTCATATCCAAATAGATATAGATTTTCTAGTTATTTTAATACTATAAATTTCAAATTACTGCTTATTGTGTGTGTGTGTTTCTAGCATGTACTCTCTGAACTATTTCAGTAATCAGGCATTTATTGAGACTTCCTTATGATATAAAACACATTTTTAGTCATTGTTCCATATACATTTGAATAGAATATATATTTTACAGTTTTGATCACTTCTCCACCTTTTGGCTAAGATCAAATGCACTATATTTTACAGTTTTGAGTGTAATATTCTTTAGTGAGTTAGACAATCTGACTGACGGTGTTGTCTAAATCTTTTATTTCTACTGGATTATGTCTGCTTTTTCTATCAATAATGAAAAATGGAGTCATAAATTCTCTACCTATCTTTGTGGATTTGTGAATTTCTCCCTTTAATATTGTCAATTTTTTCTTCATATGTTCTAAAATTTTTCTCTTTGGTATAGTTTAAGTTTATTATGTCTATTTGATAAATAAACCTTGTTTTTATTTTTAAAAATCTATTTTACCTGTATCAATAGTCCTTGACTTGAGGTCTACTTTATTTCTGATAAAATAAAGTCACAGAGGTTTTCTTTTGATTTTCTGTGCTGTTTGCACAGCATATATTTTCCATCCTTTTAATTTGAGTGTATGTATGTATTTATATTTGAAGTATATTTGATATTGATAGCATTGGGTATTGTCTTCTCTAACTTCTGTCAATTGGAGTGTTTATCTGCATTTCATATAATTATTGAAACAGTTGGTTTTTAATCTAGCATACTAGTATTTGTTTTTATATAATGTGCTTTGGTTTTTCATTGTTCTCATTTTATGCATACTTATTTATACTCGTTACTGTAGAGCAATGATTCTCAATCCTTTTGGCCTTACAACTCTTTCATATTCTTAAAATTAATGAATATCCCAAAGAGTTTTGCTCATGTTGACTACATTCGTCAATATTTATCTTATGATAAACTATGAGGAATTTTTAAAACACAGAGCACAAGTACCATTACTCTTCTATACGTTGCCAGGATCTTTGTTTGAATGCTCACCTACCTTTATGGGACTATTCACTCCTTTCAGATGAATTAGGACTGTTTTCACTCTATGGATGCAAATTGTTAGCAAAAGAGCACTGTGAAGTACAAATTGACCAAGTATAGGCCATGTATGTCATTGGAATAGTTCCTCAATTCCCACACATGATGTGGATTTTATTCTGAATACACTCTTTGAAGAAAAATTCAATATCCTAAAAATGTGTGTTTGTGAAAAAATATTAAAGTATAGAATGGCTTCTAGTAATCTATCCAATAGAATAATTCTAAGAAGTTCATTAGGAACTAGCAGTAGATGAGGAGCCCTAGAAAGTTAATATAAAACTAGCACACATGGAGGAGGAATTTCTTACCCAGAGGAATCCAACCTGGAAGAGTGGCATAGGTATTTGTATTTGTCACAGGCCCTTAACTGTGTTCTATGTTTTTTCAGATGCTATTTCTTACAGACTCCTGTTGAAGCTGCACTATGGATAACCAGGGAGATGTTTCCACTCTTACAGGCAGTGAAAAGAAGGAGGTCAACAGACGATCTTTAGGATGCACTCTTTGGAATCATCTATTGTTTTAATGATCAAGAATACTTGTTTGATTTCTCAATGGCATTTGAACAGGTAATAAAATGAGTAACCAGGACTGCTATATGCACATTTTTTAACCTTGCACCCAAATAAATGAAGGGAAAAACCCTTAAGATGTGCATTGATAGTAGAAAAGCAGTTATAAAAAGCAGTTCTCAAAAATAACTCAGCAGTGGTGGGAAATCACATTTGTGTGAAACGTGACTGCATCTATTTCATTTATTTTTATCACTTCATAGAGTTGTTTCGAAGCTTACCTGAATTGCCACGTATAATGTGCATAAACATTGTTAACAGTCAGCAAACATTTACTACTGTCATTATTAGCAAAGCTGGCCCTGTTATGATATTTCATTCAGACTCAGCAGGGTTAAATGATTTGCTAATGGTCCATAGTGAATAAATGCTAACAACAAGATTTGAGCTAAAGACTCATAATTTAAAATTCAGCCTTCTTTCAAAACACTATGATGTCAATTCCACAGGACAAATTTCCTCTCATCTAATCTATTACAAATCAGTTTGTATGGAAGAAAATAAAAGATTATTTTTATGCAGTGAAATAAAAAACATGATTTAAAATAACCAAATCACAAGTGAGAAAATGGTAAGGGCTGAAGAATGTTTATTAGTCATAATGTTTCCTCATAAGATTGGTATATTAAAGTTACTTTATAATCTGCAGATTATATATATAATTTATATATATAATTTGTAGATGATTCCTAGACATAGATTTAAGTAATTATTTTTCTTTCTTAGAAATTAGTGTTGAGTTATGTTCAGTACCACAAATGTTTTTGGTATGTGATAATACATATACATGGAACTCAATATTGGAAATGTTATTTCTGGTTCCTGAATACATTTGTCAATGTGAGAAAATAGTGACAGGTCTTAATTTTAAACTTACAGTACAGAAAGTGTAACCATGGTTCAAAGTTCTAGAAAAACATCCTTCCAGAATTTTTGCCATTAGGGTGAATCAAACATGCTTTGCTGTCATTGGGACTTCAATGGAGCCTAACAATTCTAAAAGTATCTGTGCTAGTCACGATAGATTTTCTAAGAACTAAACCAAAAATGCAAAAAGACCATTACATTATTTATAATTTGAGGTTATCATAAGACAGTACAACAACTAGCACAAATAGACTTGATAATGAGATTTCTAAAAATGAAAAAAAATTATACTCTGCAATTATACCATTCTGTTTGTTCTCTATAAATTTCTTCTCTACAAGAGAACTGTGCTGGTTAACATGACAAATTTTTAAGAACCACAGCTAAAAATTTAAAATCATGCTCATATTTTGGTGACAATCTAAAGACACTTTTTGCAGAGGGCATGATAAAAGTTATGTACTTTTGAGACATAACCGGGCAGACAGAAATACCACGTGTGTCACTCTCTGCATGAAGATAACCATTTTCTCTCTGATCAGATCAGGACTTCAGAATAGGAGTCAACACACTAATGCATTTACATGTTTAATAAACATATGCTCTACTTACATGTATAAGGGTTTCATTGCTTTTGTTTTTGCTTTTTAGTACCAGGGATCGAACTTGAGACCTTGCGCTTTCGAGGAGGGCACTGAGGAATCACTGAGCTAAATCCCTGGCAGGGTTTCATTGTTTGTCAACCTTCTTTCCACTTTAAATAAAAAATTCAAAATAATTTTTCACTTTATATTTAGGACTGAGGTCACTGCAATATTATTGCCTATTGTAAGTGGACATGATGATGCACTGTAAGCAGAGCTCCATTTAAGGATAAAGAACAAAACTATAAGGCAAATATTTGGAAGTTCCTTATTACAGCATGCTCCTAAGATCACTGTTTCCTAAATGGTACCTAAACTCTTTTTTGATCACTATTCCATATATATATATATATATATAGAGAGAGAGAGAGAGAGAGAGAGAGAGAGAGAGAGAGAGAGAGTCATAATATGTAGTCACATTAGTTATTTACAATGCACTTTTTTCAAAGTGTACTTTAAAGGCATGATAAACTCACCTTAGAGAGGCCACCTACTTCCAAATAAAAGCAGATAATGAACACATTCCAGGTGATCCAGAGGGCAGTCCATACTGTGTACTGGATAGAAGTGGGTGGAAGAGGGAGAAAGAGAAGAAAAATGTGGAGATGAAAGGCGTGTATACTAAATAAATTGATTATAAATATGTCAATCAGTCTATGTCTTCTGGGAAGAAACAGACGAGGAACACTCAGAAAAGAGTACTCCTTATGAGGCCTCCTAAAATCTAGAAATTAAAAATCCAATAGTTTCTACTGCTTTCGGGGGATGCCAATAAACCTAGATTTATTTTTAAAGTGCTTTGCTGGCTTGCAGGTATAAGATAAATCCAAATTCTCACTTGATTTCTATTTGGTGAATACTATCTTTTCCAGGAAATATAATTATGCAATTATTCTATGAGCTGTCCATCAATCTGCCTGGTTGTCTATCTGTCATCTTTAAGTAACAATATTAAACTGTCAAAATTTTAAGAATGTTACTCAAAACACAGAACTTCCATGTTCCTGAATGAAGGCAATGTGTAGAGTAAAATTAAATGAAAATGGATATGTAGAATAAAATTAACAAACTTTCATCTGCTTGACTATTTTTTTGAGAATAGTATGTACCTCTATAACCCCATAATAAAATATGTTCATATGAAATAATTTGAAGCACAGAAATTAATAAATGGATTAAAAATAAACAAATGAAAAATAGGCTTCCATAATGGAAAAACATCTCCAATTCACATATAACAAACTTTAAACTTTCTGGCCTTTTTGATTAAGTAGTTTTATTAATATATCATATGCTAGGAAGTGCCTTTCCCTCGAGAATTAGTGAATCAGAATTAAGGTCGCTTTTTTTTTTTTTTGATACCGGGAATCGACCTCCGGACCTTGCGTTTGCGAGCCAGGCAGCGGAACCACTGAGCTAAATCCCAGGCATTAAGGTCTCTTTTGAGTGGATTTATCCCTGGAGAGCATCTTACTGCTCCTCTCACCCACTCGCTTTCTTGTGCAGACAAAGAAAGCCAGAGGCTTGCCCTCAAAACAGCTTGGATGACGGAGGTGAGGACATGCCACAGGACAGTTAACAGGTCAGATACAGTGGTTTCCTTTTCATCTTACTGCACTGCAAAAGATATGAATTCTTAATTTCTTAGGTGAGCATATCATCACTTTCTATGAGTGATTATAAGCATTTCATGTTATTTTAAAATTAAATATTGAAATAATTACCTTAGCTTGTTTTATGCTGTGACAAATAGTATTATGAGTTTTAGATGTTAAAGAAAATAACCATGTTACTACTAGAAACCTTATCAGAGTATTTACCTATTTGTAAATTTTGATTTGCATTTTATGGCTTTTTGTTAACCATGGCTTTTAAAGACTTTCAAAAGAGCCTTTAAGATAGTTATGCAGTTCCATAATAGTATACATTTCATATCATATTTTTAATGAGAGTGTTTTGGTTTTTTAAAAGGTTATACAATTATATAATGTGCTAAAGTGCCAAAATTATTATGAATTTATGATAAAAACATACTGAAGAGTTCACATAAAATATATTGTGAAGTTTGTTAGCGTTGGCAGATGTTGCTGATGCAGTCATATCCTCTATTCATAAAGTTTCTAAGTATGAGTGGGCTTAGTTTTTAAAAACGTGACAAATGTATTAAATACTTCTCTGAACTACAAAAGATTCCCATGACTATTGAAAATATCTAATCTACATCTTTAAAATTATACACATATCTATTTGCAACTATACAAACAATAACTGCAGCATATTTTAGACATTTTGCTAATCTCGTGGCACTTGGTCTCTGATTTTTTTTTTGTCTGAATAAATGAAATTTTAAGTGAATTAGAATTGGAGAGCAACTCTGACCATGAAGTCTTGAGAAAAAATATAGTGACAAGGGTTCAGAACAGAATGTCAAAGAAAGCAAGGCTAGAAAGTAAGAAAATGAGCACCATTAATTACAAAATCATATGATCTTAATTAGTGGAATTCAATCCTGAATCTATATGTATTGTTTTAGGAAAATCAATCAATTCACAGTCATAAAAATGTATAATAAAATGAACCTACTTAAAATCAGCACAAACTTTTGACTGAAGTTGTCTTAGGATCTTTCAAAAGTTGTACTGTTGGTGCTGGTATTGAATTTTCACAGATAAAACTACTACGGTAAGTAGAACCAAACTGTCAGCTCCCGAATGCTTAACAATGACAAATGCTTAACAATTCTGGTGCTTTCTGTGCCCCTGGATGGTGCTGTGGGTTTTACACAGGTCATGCTATGGAGTCCTCACAGTGAAGCCAAGGCAGAGTGGTCATCGTTTGATCCTCCAAGAAATGTACACTGTTGCTCTTGGTAGACTTTTTATTTTTAAAGATCCTAGGAAAATAACTGTAAATTAATTGTGAATTACTCTTTTATAAAATTTTGCACTCAATCAAATCACAATTTATCAAATTACAAGTTTACCAAAGATTTATTTCATTCATGTAAGTTCTATAATTGGTAATGTTTGTGTTTTGCAACTAATATGTCTGGTTTAATATGGAGTAATGGATATAAAATTTATTCTAATACAGTGTTTAGAACAAAGAATGCATAATTGAATTTTGGATTGTTATGAGTTGTAAACTTTATACCTCCATGAGTACTAGAGATACAAATTTGACCATAGATATACAGGGAAAGAGATCTCTGGAAATAAGGCATGCACAAGAATTTATCCAGGAAGAAATATTAGAAGAATCCTTGGGTTACAAGACTGGCTATCCTTCCTTTCTTTTTGAAGAGGATTATTACATGTGGCAACTCCTCATGATGAATGTAATCACTATGTACTGCAAACATGTACTAATAAAAAATAAAGAAATGAAATTT